GATTTCTCCTTTTTCATGTATTCCAACACCGACTCACATAATGTCCCCAGTGGATCACGAGCGTCCAAAATATGGAGTATGACATCCGAAGAGTCAATGACTTTGTATAGCTCACCGTAAATTCGTCTTGACGTTCCTTTGGCGTAAATGGGCTCATTGTAGTCGGCATGTGTGGGAGCTTCAACGATTGAAGATGCAAGTGGTTCTGTCGTCAAGTATTATGAGTTGTGGCGTCCTTCGTAATGAGAAATCAAACACACCTATAACTCCTTGTCCAGATCGTGAAGCCGCAACTTCAGCTTCCTCTGCAGCTGCCGCGCCCAACCTCCCCAGTTCCTCGAAGTCACCTGCATCGATTCTAGGTCGTTTACGCTGAGCCTTAGGGCCGAAAGTTTCGCTAAACGGTTCGGTTTCTACGATATGTGACCGCTTGATGATAAAAAAAATGAGATACAAGATACTGGAAGTTGACAGCGACCTTACCTTGCGAGCGTTTGGATTCGCAGCTTCATCCAACAAAACCATTGGAAGTTTATTCCGGCGCAATAGAACAGAATAAGGGTCATCTTTCTTGTTTACCAGGCTCGTTCTAAAGTGGTCCAACGCGGATTGTGATATAACCCGTGTGTTTCCTAAACAGAGACATTCAGAATAGCTTCGACCACAAGACAGTAGGTAGCCAGTCACCAAACCACCGTCGATCAGGTTGTACCCGTCCTGGCTTCGTCTCATCTTCACCCTTCTGAAACGCAGCAGCCTGTATTATCTTCCCATCCTTGTCCCGCACGGGTTTCCCCCCATTGAGCATTTTGAGTCGAGCAACCTGTTTTGCATTACGATAGAAGTTTTCGCCTTTGACCTTTTTGAGAGAAACCCCGGAGCTGGATGATGACTTCGTTTTTGACGATGAGCCCGACTTCTTGAGTGGTGCCATCGTTAAGGCCTACCGACAGGGTGTTGGGGAACGGTCGATACTGGGAGGCGAAAATTATAAACACAGGTAGATGCAGGCGGGTGTCAAGAAATATTTGATGGGTATTATGTAAGCCAATTGCCCTTTCTCTGCAAACAACCACCAACTCAATTTCTTCCCCGATATGTCGAACGCAGAGGAGGAAACGAACCCTTATGAGCTTTTAAACGTCACGGTAGAGTCGACTGAACAAGAAATTCGGACTGCTTACCGCCAACGCTCCCTCAAAGTCCATCCAGACCGAGTCAGTAAGTGTTCTCTTTGATTTCAATCCTCTCTTTAGTCTTATTTCTTCCTTAGAACCCTAACAATCCTGATGCTGGTGAGGTCGCAATAACTGCACACTTGTAGCAGTAACTAATATACCTCCTAGCGCGCAAATTTCACGAGCTCAATCAGGCATACGAACTTTTGCTCGACCCACTCAGGCGCCTTGCCCTTGACGCAAAATTACGCGTTAAACAGGCCCGAGCTGAACGGTTCAAAGCATATGACAATAAGCGAAAGAATCTAGTGGAGGAGCTGGAGGAGCGAGAACGAGCTTTTAAGAAAGCCAAAGTAGAGAAGGCGAAGGAGGAGGCTGCCCGATGGGAACAGGCAGAGAAGATCAAAGATGAAGGTAGAAGACTAAGAGAGGAGAAGCAGAAGCAGCTTGAAAAGGAATTGGAGGTCAGAAAGTACAAGGAGAGTCGGCTTGAAGATGTGGAAGCGCCAGTGCTAGGTAAAGCGAAGTCTGATATTTATACCGGCCATCACTGACCCTTCACCTTTACAGATTCCACAGATACCACTATCCGAATAAAGTACAATCTCACAGAACACCCCACACTCATAAACAAAGAAGTCATCGCAGCGCTCCTCAAGTCATTTGGAGAGACGGATTCAGAAACCATCGTCGTATCACTGAAACCCCCCAAAAAAGCACCGCATAAGCCCCCGAAATATGGAACTGCTTTGGTTCCTTTTAAACGTATCGGTGATGCGTTTGCCGCTGTTTGTGCTAGTGGTAGGCCGGAGAGAGGATTACGCGGGATTGAGATTGGTTGGGTGGGAGGCAAGGAGCCTCAAATACTATCTTGGCTGAAGAAGATGGGAAAGTTGGGAACACCTTCCCCCGGTGCTTCTCCTACAACCTGGGCAGAGGAGACCAAACGTGATGCGGAGCAAGCTTCCCTACCGCAGATGCAAACGACAACGAGTGCACCTGGATCCTTCTCATCTTTCCCCGATACTTTTGTATGTGGTCTCTGTTTCGTCAGCCATAGTGGCGGACTCTAATCCAGTATCATGCATTTTTAGCCCGACTTCTCGTCCGCACCTCCTCCGCCTGAGCCAACAACGTCTGTTGCAGGGCTTGACTACGAGTCGCTAACGCTGATGCGTATGCGACAAGCGGAAAAGGAGCGTTTGGAAAGAGAGATACTGGAGCAAGAAGCTGCGGAAGAGGCATAGTCGTTTTCAGATCTTACAAGGTCACTGAAGTGTATGATAGCTCAATCCACCAGTCATAGGCTCGAAATTAGTCACTTCGTTCGGGTTTCATCTGTCTCGCCGGAGCCTTGGATAGATACAGTCTCGTAAGGGAACTGCTGGAGTCGGCGTCAACTCAAGATGATAACTCTCTCGGAAATGGAGGTCTTGCGGGTGCGGGTAAGGTAAGTAAGATACAGAAACTACAGTACGCGCTCGGCAGACAGGCTGCCATTCCGCTTTGACCAATCAGGTGATATGGAGCCTCATAAACTAAATACGATGCAAGTGCAGGTTTGCCTTTTTGAGTTTGAGTTTCCTTTGAATTCTCCTTTGAATTCCTCCCTCCCTCCCTCTCTCTCTCTCCCCCTCCCTCTCTCTCTCTCTCTTTCTCTCTCTCTCTCTTCTTTCTTCTTCTCTCCTTCAAAGCCGGCCTCGTAGTCAGCATCTTAAGTGGAAACCCGGCTTTGACACTACAAGACCTGAAGGTATCAACGATGGATACTCTTGGGGTGTTCACGATTGATATACTCCCGTACCTTATGCGTTGGGTGAAGCTCGGAAATCTTGGTTTCCACTGCGTCACTAATCACTTCTCTCTGCTCAGCTCGGACTCGAAGATCAAAAAAGCCTTCGTTTGGTCAACAAAATCTCCAGAGATATGACAGAACGGGTTTTCTGGGCCTCAAAAACTGTCAGCATAAGAATTTACGGGACGAAAAGTTTGGAAGCAGGGCTTAGGAAACTTGAAGACTTCAGAAAGTACCCCGACTCGGCAAAAAAAATTCAAAAGCTGATATTAGTTGTCGATATGGAGGAGGTGGAAAAATTGAAACAGGTAGGTTTATCCGAAGCACTGCGATTGCTTCAAGGTTTGCGAACTGTTCAGTGAGTGCTGGTCGTTCTCGAAACTGACGCTTGTCCAATAACTTTCGATACCAAATAGTTGGTTGGTGTCGGACCACACTTCACCATGGGCCCAAAAGGCTATAGCACCATCTTTGGCGTCCCTTCCAAAGCTTTCCGAGCTTTTCCTGAGGGGATCACGGCCGACACTGAAGGAAGACCCGCTACCACCGACGCCACTCGATCCCTTTGGGGAAGGAAAACTAGAACTTTTGTCCATTGGACCACGGTTCGTTGACGGAGAGCGCTACAGTTATTCGACTGTGTCTAAACTCCTTATACAAAATCCCCAAATCGCCCATTTGATCCTCTATGCCGACGAGCATACACAGGCGCCGCCATCTCTGCTCAAAGATATCCTTCCTCAGGCAATCCCTCACGCGCCTAAATTACAAGAACTCACCTTGATAGGCCCGTGACACGTCGAACTCTCTGGGGTTACCGATTACCTTCGGTCTCTGTCCACTCTCAGGATCCACCCATACCAACACCGCACAGTGTACAATAACCAGGACTTTTGGGAAGCGCTTCAGAGGGAGAAGATACACCTCAGGGATATCTCTATATCTGACAACATTGGTAACAAGTTGTTTGACTACCTCTCTTCTTTCACTGGTCTCGAGAGATTGAAGATGCTCCCTAACACGATTCACCAGGAGATGGCCGACAGTCTCGCACAAGACTTTTATGGGCGTGCTATACAGATGCACGCGTCATCCCTACGGGAGCTAAATATCGCTCCTTGCTTTTTTCGATCCTGGTGTTTTGGAGCCCGGAATGTGCATGCCTTCGATGAGTGTGTGCAACTGAAATACCTTCAAATCAGTATCTACGAAGAAGATATTTTTGCGACTGGCGATCCGAATAAACATGTTGTGGTACGTCCCGCCCCGGTCAAACTGCACTTTCCGACTCACTCAAATGTTCAAATTCTTAGTCTCTCCTCGTTCAGCGGGCGGCAACATTGCCGAAACTTCGGGTCTTATGCATCTCGTCTGTGTACTCGCCACCTGTCGACCGCAGTAGGTGGCGGCAGGGAACAGCTCGGGTCTATCAAATCTTGCTGGACGTGAGACTCCCACTGAAATACGTGCCTCAATTTGAGGTAGTCGATGTGGCGACCGTGTCTGACCAAGAGTACTCAACTCTGTATTACCATCCGGAGATGGTTAAACCTGGTGAAGTCTGTTTCAAGCAAGGGTGAGAATCAAAGTTACACTTTCAATTTGATGCGCAGTACTGATGGTATGTATTATGATAGTGTCAGTGCGAACTCGACACTCAACAGACCGCCGAAACGACGAGTTTCGGGACGGTCTTGGGACTGGCGTGACTTGTAGTAGTACTAAGCGCCTAGACAGACTTGACTTTTCCTCGGTCAAAAATTCATCTTCGGCCCTAACGTTGAATGAAGAGGGGAAGAGTCGAATGGTCGAGATGGATGTTGGACGGTGCTGTGAGGATGGCACCGGTCTTTTTTTTCAATATCATGACATCGACTTCTAGGCACTCCCTTGAACTTAGTCTCCCTTAGGCAGACTCTGAGTCCTCGCGGTGCTTCGCTCGATACCTTGAAGTTGCCTTTTGGTGTTGTTGTTCCTTTGTGTTTCTGCATGCTGGTCATTAATGTAATGAGCCTAACCAACATCAAGGTGCTATAGCCAAGTGGTTACGGCGACAGATTCGAATTACTGTAATCTCATCTGTTCCTCTTTGAGGGCGCAGGTTCAAATCCTGCTGGCATCGATTGCTTTAAAGTGGAAATCATTTTTTTCCAGCTTACTTGACAAAGAAGATTCATCCCCTAAGTGACAGTGGATATTGTCAAAATTCTCGAAAGCTCTTGGGGTGAGAAACGCGAGCGCGACGCGGCGCCTACACGTGTTCCCACAATCACGATACCGTTAGCTTCACCTTCCAGAGAGTACGGTAACGTCTATAATTTTTCTAAAAAAGCGTCCTTGTTAACACGAAACGCATAGAATACCATGGATAAGTGGTCAATCTTCGAGTTGTATAACTGGGGTGTAAGAGAAGACTCGGATTCAAGGCGCGTACGCGAGAGCGAGAGCACAAACTTTGTCACAAACGCGGACAATTTGGGCCTTCCCTTGTCTCCGCTACCACCACGCAGCTCCGCATTTCATATTAATATTATTCTGGACCCTCACTGGACCGGCTTAATTCTGCAAAATATCAACATATCGCTGAACGGCTACCTATCTCACCATCCGTGCAGCTTCGAGAATTAGGCCTTATCGCCCTCTCGCGCAAAGTTGTATAGTGCCTGTCAGAGAACCCTCGAAAAAGCAAGGAAGGGCCGCTCGTCTGGTAATTTTGCCCCTCAGTCAATGCTCGAAAAGATTAGCCAGGAGGTTGAGAAATTTGTAGGGATCTTTGTGCTTGTTTTTTTGGTGTGTTACGGCAAATCCTCAGGTTTCCAACCAGATTTGTTACTGTTCTATTGGCCTAACATCCGACTCGTTGTGCTCTAGGCCTCAACGCTCACCTGCCCTCTCTTGGCCTGAACCTCTTCTTCCGAGGCTTTCTCCTCTCATCAAGGCCGCATCTACCATCGAACCAGTAAAACTTTTACCCGAATTCTCATGGACTATGAGGGGCTCAGAGTCAATGGTTGTTTGATATGAGGCTGGTTGTAAATCATATGTTCCAGAGAAAGGATGAAAAGGGCGAAAAGATTAATCAAGCGTGGCAATCTCTGTGGTTAACTCCTTGAGCCTGGGACTAAAGAACCTCCGAATAGATCCAAGGAGCCTGAGAAGGATCGGTCGGAAACTTTGCGAATACAGCCTAACCTGATGGATGCTCACCTGAGGTTGAAAAGAAGCTTACGCAAACTTCTTAGCAGGATAATGTTTTTCACCAAGATGAAACCTTCGTCTGAACCGGTGCTTGCAAAGTTCACTGTCACGCCTCTAGTATGATTCTTGGCCGCACTGTTTGGAGCCGTCGTTGACGGTCTGCTGGCTGGGATGAAAAGGTCCATTTTCGAACTATGGCCTTTCTGGGTTGCTCGGTGGAGTTTTCGGGATGGGGTGGGAGATCATCTACTGCTGGGCTCTTTACTCAAGGGCTATGAATTGCGCCCACTTGTCTCCTGACTACAGCTTCTTAGATATCCCTCTTTCTAATTCAGGGCCACGACTTGAGTTTATCTCCGAGTTCCGTTTTCAGGCTTCATGTCGTGTCGTGGGACAAGGTATTTCTTGGAATAAATACTCATCTGCTTTGGCTGAATCCTCAGCGACCAATTTTTCTGGAGCACCTTTTACCTCATGCCAATCACACTCAATCCATCCAGTGGCGATCCTCGTCAGTTTAAAGTTGCTGCTGTTCAAGCTGAGCCGTTCGTATAGGATCGTCTATCATTATACCTTATGACTGATCATAACCTCCCATCCCCCAGCGTTTGGCTTGACCTGGAAGGTGGAGTCAAAAAAACAATCCATATCATTGGAGAAGCTGCCGCCGCAGGTGCTAAGATTATCGGGTTCCCGGAGGTATTCATACCTGGTCAGTACTATAAATTCTTTACTTCCTTATCTTCGGTCTGCCTCTTATCATCCAATGAACTTTAGGTTACCCATGGACTCCTTGGGCGAACGACTTCGCCGCTTGTCAGCCGGTTTTAAAGCAATATCAAGCCAATGCTCTGGCGCTGCACTCCCCTGAGATGGATCGTATCAGGGAAGCAGTCAAAGAGCATGACGTGAATGTTGTCCTCGGTTTTGCTGAACGCGACGGGGCCTCCCTTTACATCGCGCAAGTGACGATCACCCAAGATGGAAGGATTGCCAATCATCGAAGAAAGATCAAGGTCAGTCTACACATCGGTGTCAGATCCCCCACGGTACATCTGGGATTAATAGTATTCCGATTCTCAGCCTACGCATTATGAAAAGACTATTTTTGGTGACGGTAGTGGTACGTACTCGTCCTTCTATCAACAGCCGTTCATTAGTGTGGGAATGACTTTGGGGCTCTTTGCCTTTACAGCTCAATCGGTCTACAATGTCGTTCAAACACCGTACGGAAGATTAGGGTCCTTGAATTGCTGGGAACATATTCAGGTAATCTTGACCTCAATTCCTTAACTCCGAGGTTCAGTACTGACAAGTCATTGCAGCCGTGGTTAAAGACACACTTCTATTCTCAACACCCACAAATCTTTGTTGGCGGTTGGTGGCCTGCTTTCCCCGCCGGTCAAGGAGGTTCCCCGTACATTGTAAGTGGAGAGGCGTCCAGTCGGATGACTCAATTAGTCGCAATGGAAGGTGGCTGCTTTGGACTCGTCTGCTGCCAAGTTGTCACCGAGGCCGGCGCCGATAAAATGAGAATGACTGGCTTCCCATGGTTCAAGTTCCCGGGTGGTGGATTCTCTACGGTGAGTTTCACTGGTCTAAAGAAAGTTCTTCTTTTGTAGCCTCACATGGATATTTTACAGATTTACGGTCCCGATGGCTCCGCTTTGGCTCCTCCCGTCGACCCGGGTGTGGAAACAGTTGTTTACGCTACGATCAGCCTCGACAAGATCAACGAAGTCAAGCTTGTGGCTGATACCATGGGCAATTAGTAAGGAATTTCTTACCATTTTTGTTCTGAGCTTACCTCTCTCAACCTAGTTCCCGGTTTGACCTTCTCCACACTGTCGTCCGTGGAAAGAACTGGTCTCCGGCTGTATATGGCCTTCCTGAGGAACAAGATGTTGAGACCGAGAAACAAGAAGATATCAAGAATGGGGTCAATAGCGCCCAATATCGCTCTGGTGAATCGAGCAAGGCCGTCGCGAAACTTTGATATAAGGGTTACTGTTTTTACTCTTGACTGACATCGTGCTTATGGGTATATGCTGGTCTGATTGATTTTAAATTGTACAAATGTGGATTGTAGGCCCATGCGCCTAGGTTGTTTTTACAAAATCTGAACTCAAATGTGAATATATCTAAGAGTGGAGAGGACTTTCCTAAGATTTCTCTTGGGCCCGCAGTAAGTATGGGCATATTTACTGACGGAATGGCAAGTAGTACATGACTATGAGCACGAGACGGCCCACACCGAACTAGGACACACGAGGCGTTATCGAAGAGATAGACGTTGGTCTGGTGAAAGGTGGTGAGGATGTCCGGTCGGTAGATCGACTGTGGAGGAGTGTAACGAAAAGATCAGATAGCGACGAAGTAAACTTGTGGCAAGGCCACAAATGTACAACTCGTGGGAAAAAAATAGAACACTCACTTATAAGGCTCGGGCTCAACTTGGCTCAACTCGACAAAGGCTCAGGCAGTAGCAGAAGGCTCAGAAATGCTCGGGGCTTTGAAAGGGCAAAGTAGAAGGAGGAAAAGGGTACGATACCCATTTTTACTACACGCTTTGTATATATGAGAGAACACAGGACAGGAGCGAAGTAAACTAGGTGTCAAAGTCAAAGAGGAAGCGAACATGTCTATCTATCAGTTCCTAAATGAACAGAGTGGATCCCTCTGGACACCTTTGACTCTGCAAACTTCAGCTCTCGGCCAGCAGCATGGATGGACCCCAGCATCCATGGAGGATCGCTAACGAGGTGGACGAGGTCTCGAAGCGGCGCACATGCAACGAGGACTCGGGATGTCGGGAGAATGGAAGTGAGGAATGAAGATCGTGACATATGAAAGGAGGGGGATCGGATGGAAGCAGGAACGATGGTTTGTGCGTGGGGAAAATAAAAAGAATCAAACAAACGGTTCATGTAAACCACCATGTATTCCTCCCAACAATCCAAGATCTCAACCATCATCTGGGTCACCGCAATCCCGTCATTACCCTACGAGTCATTGCTGGGATCATTCGTCGGTCATCGTCCCCCGTCAACAAAAACGCCTCCACCCGGTCATCATACAGAGATGATCTTGAACATTAGTGACTATGATGGCCACACACTTCCGAATCCAATAAGAGATACGCTTAGCCAGCTGTAGGAGTGAAACTTTCGACTCGGAATTTACATCGAACATCGGAATATCAAGACATAGCGTTACAGGGCATCTATACTTGATTGCCTTGCAGGTAGTTGAAAAGGACTGTGATACCTTTTTCGTGTGCACATATATACGGACCAAATACTGGTAAGTACTAGCGTAGTATAGCTATTGTCGGTCCCGCTCGAGCCTTCAAAGCTTCAGCTCTCAGCGGAAATTACGTACAGTGCCGGAGGACACGCACAATCGGCAGTCGGCGAATTCCTTTCCCCTTGACCCCCACTTTTTCATAAAAATATCAGACCACCATCGGAATGCTGACGACCTACCTTGAGCAGTTCACCTGAGAACTTCTGAATAATGACTTCAACGCCGTTGGGACTCAAATGGAGGGCTGGATTCTGGTATGTAACTTTCGTGGTTTGGCTTGGTGAGTGAGGGATGTTAGATCGCTGAGCCTTTTAACCAAATTTGAAGATCTTATGCCACAGGAATTACTGTAGACATATTGGTCTATTCGATAATTGTGCCAGTTATACCCTTCCGACTCGAACAACTCGGGTATGATAATGTTTCAAGTCGCGTTGGCTGGCTACTGTTCAGTTTTGTCAGTCTGCATTATATTTCCAGAGGTTTAGAGTTGCAGATTTCTTACCATTAATGTTCAAGTCTATGGGTCTGGTGCTCTGTGAGTCTCTTTTTTATTCGAATATAAACCCGTCCTCACCGAGACTCGATTGTTAGCAACGCTTCCAATCGCTACGATCT